AAAGCAGCTTCGTTGCAACTTGGACGATTGCTACGATTCTAATTCGGTGTACGCATCTTGATCCCTTTGCTACATTCGCTTAGGCCTCAGGCAATACTTACTGGGTACCATGGAAATGTTCGGAGTGGATTCCGATCGGAATTATTCCGAAATTTTCCACGATACCCTGACTTCGCAATGTAAACGACAAACGAAAGGAAGAGGAAAAAAGCGAAGAGAAATAGAAAAGAGGCTCCAAGAGAAATCGTTACTTACTCGTGTCTACCATGCAAAATCATATCGATCACAGTTTATTTCATAACTTTCCTCCTTTCTTTCGCGTATCAAGTGCAATATTGATAGAGTTAGACAAAGTTCGTGGTATCGTCGTACACTGAATTACGCGACGGGCTTTTCTCACGGGGAGAAGTGCACCCGGTTTTATTTTTATGTCCAACCCTTCGACCCGCGAACTGATGTTTCACCGGAACGGCCGGTGATTTATCACCGGGATATTTTTGCAATCCACGTGCCGCCCACGCGGACAACAACTGACGCGTGTGTACGCAACGCGGATCGAATTGCGATGTTTTAGCGTAACGATCGTGCGCGTAGCTACGCGATGCACTCCACGCCACCACCCACACGCCAGTTTTCAGATCTCGCGTATACTCTAATAATACTTTTACACGCGCGCTATGAACAACATAATCGACAATCGTGGAAACAATTTTCATCCACCAGGTGGTAAACTCGAGCGGATAAATTCGGCGAAAACGGGAAATGTCGATCCTCGCGTGAGAAACTGGGATTTATCGCGATCGTATGGATAAAAATAAAATCGGTATCGCAAATAAATTAGGATGTAAAATGTTTTATCGCACGTCGAAAAGGGGACGACTCCTTCCGGTTGACAATAAACGAGAGTAGCAACGATCTTTGCGAGCTGGGCGAAACGATCGTTCTGACTTGATTGGCAATAACGTGGATAGAGAGCGAAAGCGATTACAGGAGTGAACCACGAAACGCTTGTCAGGCCGCGGACTCGCTCAACCTCATCAGCACGCAAAAAAGTTCTCGCCCTTTCTTTCTCTCTGCCGTCATCGACTTTTTCTTGGTTCCCCGTCAAACAACTCGATTATGGGAACGCCGCTCTTCTCAGCCTTAAACGGGCACATGTATATTTTTATTCTACTAATAAAGCTATACTGGTGTGCTATAAACGTTCGAGATAGCCTCTTTCATACAGCTTTGCATTTGCATTAAGGCAGTTATTTCGTAAAATCACATATGTGAGAATTGTTTCAACTTTTTACAGTTTATTCTTCACATTAAAAATATACGTGTAAAATTAAACTAATTAAATTAACATTGACCGTCTCAAAGTTCTAAAAAAGAAAATGTTAAAGTTCGCTATGTTACACGAAATATTACGTGTAAAATACGTTAAAAATATTATTACACGTGAAATATTATTTACATATATTATTATGTGTTAAAATATTAATATTTGCGTTTGCAAACGCAAATGGTGGCACATTTTATTTTTTTGAGCTTAACGGTGAGTGAGATTCGTATGAGAAACAAATATGTTATAAAGTAGAACGAATAACTCGAAAAAAATAAAAATTATTGACCGTTTCGTTTCAACAATATAAACAATTATAATCTTGCGAATCTATTTTATATTATGTATTAATCGTAAGTGTATTCTTTAGAACAATATTGCATCAAGATGCAATATCATGGTAATAGTTGAGTGTTGGTTTTTGTCTGGAAGAAACTTTAGAGCATTACTATCGCGAAACAACTACCTTAAATGTTAAACTGACACGAGCACTTTTATTTAAGATGAAATAATAAATAGATGCGATTTTTACTGGCATGATATTAAAATTTCAAGTATCCTTCGGAAACACAAGTTTCAGCCATTTTCATCACGTAGAATGAATTTCGCCAGACCGTCAATTTTTAAAATATTTGCCTAACATCGTGTTAATAATATTCAAATATAGCGCTCATACAACGTTGGCTTTTCAGCGCGGGATAACGCGGCGGAATAATTCATCCCATCAACCCATTTGACTGTCCCGCTGCTTCTGTTTCGCGCAAACCTCAAAGACTAACGCGCTCGTAATTTACTTAAAAATTTCGTCACGTCTCTCCGCAAGTTTCGGAAACTTGCGAGCGATCTCATCTATCCTTCGGCCCTATTCCATCAACCTGAGCCACGGTGCAATTTGACGGTCTACCGATCGCGATTTTGCAGCCTGTACTCGAGCAGGAGAGTCCATTAAGTTGCGATCATCGTCTCGCGCGGTCGTGGGGTGAAGAAGGACGTTGTGAAAGGTTTGCCCCGGGTTGGTGAGGCTAACATATCTCCCAGTTAAGTGATCGATAAGCTATCCGTGAAATGGCAGGAAACACACACGCGCCGTTGAGCTTACGATCTTACGTTAGGGGTGTAACGCGCCCCTGTTCGCATCGCGAAAGCGTTTACGAAGCAAAGCGTAAAACGCGCGGATTTACAAGACACTATCCCTAAGTCGGGATCGCGGATTAATCTTGGTGATCCCTGGTATATACGGAAGCTTGGAGTGATCTCCGTGTTCCCGCGAATAATCTGGATTCTGGTTGTCATTCTTGAGTTTATTACGACAGGTAGTTAATTATTTCATTTAATAATCCGGTCATTGTTCTCTACCTCACCAGTTGTCCCGCGATGAATCGCCAGCTCTAATAAAGTTTCGCAAATCGGTTAATTCTGTTTGTGACGGATATTGTAGTGAATAAAATTGTCGCGAAAAAGGCGCGTTTTTGTTCTACCGTCGAAATAGTGCGTAAAAAAGTTTCGAACAAAACTTTTATGGCTTTTTTGTGTATCTTATAATCGAGTATGTAGATTTCTCTCAAATATCTAATACTTTTCAAAACATCTCCTTATGGCGTTTGAAGCATAAAATATCAAAATTTTAAAAGTCAAACAAATTGAATCTCAAAGATCCAAATGAACCGTACCTAAAATACTTTTACTAGAAATACGATGTAATAATAAACAATAAATTGTCATAGTTAGTTGATTATCCACCATTGACCTCAAACATGGTGTTTCCCAAGCAATTGGGAAAGGGGGCAGGGATGAGGGAAAACTTAAAAATCGCGTATTTGACAGTTCTGTGTACGGCCGACAACCCCTGTCGGCGCGCAGTTCACAAAAGTCGAAAGTATACGCGTAGACAACATCTTTATACTGTTATTGCGACAAATATTATCATATGCCTCGGTGGTCAAATCGGTGAGACGCCCGCCTAGAGTGTCCAGGTTCAAACCCTGGCTGAGGTAATATTTTTCGCAATAAATTTTCTGTATTATTAAAGATGCCAGGTATGGTCTAGAAAACAGTGACGTTGTTAATTACCCCTGGCGACATCGACGAATTCTGATTAGTAAAGTTTCATAATCTTCAATTTATAAGGTAATAGCTACAGGGATGTTTGTGCCTGATTCAGTCCGGGAATGCGAGAAGATTCTTAAGCCACCGCTAATCCCAATTGTTTCGCGCAAGCCTAAATTTCTGATTCTCAGCAGACTAATCTACGGTATGACGGTGAAGGCAACTCCCTTATAGTTTCGTTTACGATCCTCGAGGGCTTTGTAAGACGACGCGGCTTACCACGGGGAAGCAGAGAGAATAGGACAGCTATACCTCCCGTCTTCGCACTTATTGTTAGAAGAGAAAGCATTACTTTTCCGACACGAGTGTCGATTGCCAGTGACAACGATACCGTCACATAATTGCATCCACTCCACGTTCAACAGCAACATCGTTATGGAGCGTTTCGCGATGCTCCGCATATCTCGGTACGAATATTCCGACGGAAGAAACAAGAGCGACTGACAAAAAGCCGCACGCGAATAAGAAACTGAAGCGAATATTTTGTTTCCCGGTGTAGAAAATCGATTTGAGGTCCCGGCGTAACTCGCGTCGCCCGAAAACTTGGCGAGTACTTTTTGCGGGTGAAGTTCCCGGGGAATCAGGCCAGGAACGTCATCGAAGCGAAACGCGACCCCCCGAACTTCAGTCTTGATCGCAAACTTTGCAAAAATGCACGGTGAATGTGTAAAGTGCACTTCGGTATTTCGTCCCGACGGCGGATTGGCAAATATACATGTGTATGGACAGATGCATTAGAGAGATGCGTTACAGACTGCATAAAGCGTTTCCGTCCGGAGCTCCGGTTCGCGCCAAGACGGGAGACGCGGAGATTATATTCGTTTCGCGGGCGACAGGCGCGACAGTTCCTCCTTCTTGCGATAGGAAAATATCTCGCCACGGAGGGAATTCGCGGCGACGCGGAATGGCGAGCGTCTTGAATATAAACCGGCTGCGGGGGGTGATTCCGATGCACGGCCGCCTACGAGAGGGCTGTCGCCGTGAGGAGACCGGGATGCTATCCATTTTCGTCCGGGATCTGAAATTCAGTCGCGCTTCTTCGGCCGCAAAGTCTCGAAATCTGGAAGCGGAGGAGTCGACCCCTGAATCTAAATCCTCACGTTGCGCCGCCAGTAACAATTTCCTTCCTGCGATGAGACGAGACGAGACGGCTCCGCTCTGGATTTCTCGGTCGCTCCTCTATCGAGGCAGGGCCACGAAGAATCACGCCCGCGCCAGGCTCGATTCATTAGCGGTCTTTTCGCGACGGGATGTTCGACTTTACTTCCTTATCGTATTCCGCGTCCTCGCGGTCCCCTACAATCTCCCGATTCGGAAAACATGGATCTGCGATGGGTACGTGACGAGGTAGACGAGAATTTTTCAAATTTACATGTATTCGACGCACAAAATCCACTTGATCCGCGACAGCGTATCGCTGTACGGCAGGAACAGATTGCGCAATTCGTTTTTCAGCCCTTACGCGCGTGTAACTTCGATTAAAATTCCTTGGAATGGGAAGTAAATACTCCCCGCGGCAAATGTATCGGATTTGCGGAATACACACGAACGATCTGTTTGTTTTCAGGATAGCGTGGAACGGCGCAGCTGCCGCACGACGATGGCAGCGTACAAATTGTCAGGAAGAACACGTTCGGATTCCTCGGTGAAATAAGCAACCGCGGATATCGCAAGTGGTAAAGCCGCTTATTCGGGCCGGCGGACTTGCTCTCAGACTTCCAGGACTCTCTCACGGCGCTACCATGGTAAAATGAAACTTTTGTCGCACCTGTTGCACGACAGGTGTATTTTTGACGGATGCGCGCGCTCTCGACCGGCATGTGATACCCGCTCCTGCGACTCGTGCCGTCCTATCGCGACAATTTCACGGTCCTGTCCGACGAAAGGGTGCTTCTAATTTCGCGCGTGTCGTCCCCGACTTGCTAATCTTGTTCCTAAGTTTGGATCGCGCGAAACGGTGCCGCCGGGTCATCAGTCTCGCTCGGAAGAACGCGATCTATCGCGGGTTACGGACGAGGTGCGAGCCGCGCGACAAACGCATGGCGGCTGAGCGAACGAGTTCCAACATGGGTCTACGTGCGCGATGAAACGGGGAAATTTATCGCGAATTGTAAGAGGTGCTGAAGCGAGAGAGAAAGTGAGCGAGAGAGCGGCAAGATGACGGACCTGCTCAATATAAGCGAGATACAGAATATCTGCCTGCTACCGGAAGACTCGGACGTACTGGAGGATCCCCGAACGCCAACTTTGAGAAGGGTCAGTTACGGTATCGTATTGCCGGCCATTTGTTGCCTCGGCATCATCGGAAATATCTTGAATCTCGTCGTCCTCACGAGAAGAAATATGCGCGGCACTGCTTACATCTACATGAGAGGTGAGCACCATCAATCTGTCTATCGCCATTTGTTTCCCCATCGTGCAATCTAGTTTTATACTTGGATAAATATTTCCGGGCCGGGAATCTTGTCACAGACAATAATCGGATCATTACTTATAAACCGTTGAATAACAATTAAATCCTCTAATTTGATATTATTCAGTTTATAATATTAACATAAAGTCTGAAATTGACCGAATTGACAAAGACTTTCTTATACTGTTAATACAGTATTTATTTGTCGCAAAGCCATCTCTTTGAGATTGGAGATAGAATAAAATTATCGATGTCGCGACAAACATTTCCTCGACGGTGAAGTAGAACCGAGCTCACAGTAACGAAAAGTAGATATGAAAGTAGCCTTCTGTGTTGATAATATCTTTCTATGCGGGAGAAAAGGGCGAGTTATGGTGCATCGAAATAAGATACGACGGGTAGGAAGTAGCGGCGCCATTATCAGTGTAATACCTTTCAATAAAATTATTCCATGTTTACGTAATATCGAAACTGGAAGCTCGATTGCATTACTTTCAGCGGGGTGCATTATCGGACGCTCAAGAGCGCGCCTGTTTCAGTATAGGGAACATCGTTAGGGCGTACATTCGCACGTCGATTATCCACAATTAATTACCTATCGATTATTTTCAACGTTGGAAAATTGAACGCCCAGAGAAGCATTAAAGAAGGAAATGACGGAGATACTCCGAGTCGAAATTTTGGCCCTATGTTGAATCTTTAATTCTATTATACACGGTGTCCCATTTTAACTTGGACAGTAAAATATCTCGAAAACTAAACCCAGCAAACAAAAATGTTTCAGATAAAAGTTGTATGGTTTCGAGGGGGACATAAGATGGTATCATTAGTTTGACCTTGAACAATTTTTTAAATGGAACCCCCTATTGTTTATTATACTATCTTATTCTACTAATTAAACTTTTGTCTGAAACAGTTTTTGATTCACCTAATACTTTTTCAGATATTTTACTGTCCGAGTTAAAACGGGACACCCTATATAGCAGGACCAAAGACAGTAAAAGAGGTCGAACTGCAAGTACAAAATTTACTCCTACTTTCAAACTGATAGTGTCGGAAATTTCTACTTTTGCCAATTTAGCATTAAAGTAGGTTCTTTTAAATAGGAGCTAAAGTAAATTTTTAGAATTAAAGATTCAAGGGAGGAGTAAAAAAAATATAACATCATCAAAGTAGGTTGTTGCTGGTCTATGTAAGTGTATAGATCAGCTAAGTAGGTGTAAACTATTCTGAAAAGTGTCAAAATAATACCAAAATTTCGACTCGGGACATTTTTGTACGTTAAAGTATAATACAAGGGCCGAGAGAAACCTCATCGTCGCGGGCGCGCGAAGGACGCATTCATCATCTAACGATGCCACGCGATTTCATTTCTTCCGATATAAGTTAAATGACAATTGTTTACGCACGGGTACGCTGTCAAAGCTAGATTCACGTAAAAAAATTTTGAGCGAAGACCCTTCCGTATTTTAATCTCCCTCTGTTTTGGAAGAAAACATTTTATTCGAGAGTGGTTCGCTCGCGTCTCATCCCGAAAGCACAGCCGTTAGGAAATATCCTCCGAAACCTCGAAAATTCGACGTTATACGCCGCGTGAATTTTCCGTGGAGATTAACGGTCCGCTTCCCCGGCCCGGAAAAAGACGAGCATTACTCTCAATTAACCTTCCAATCGCTACGCCCGTCGATTCGACTATTTCACCGTAGACCGCTCACCAATATTCATCGCCATAGTTTCGCGGGTCAACACCGCGGTCGGATATCCGTTTCGGGAACGTGCACGTCGAGCACGTCGGAAAGCATTTTCGGCTGATTAACACTTTGACTGCCGGGCTGATTTCTGAGAGATTCAAAGTCGAGAAATGCGCTGCTACTTAAAAACTGTGCAGTCAGATTATAAAGTAAATCACGCCGCAAAAACAAATATATATAAAGAAATAAAAAGAAATAAATATAAATACATATGAAGAAATATTATACAAGTATAGATATATTGTACAGATTATTATTTAATGATATATTTCAAATGGACTAGATAAAAGTGTCACTCACAAACCGAAATAAATCTTTCTGTAATTGAAAGAGATATAAGTAAAAAATAAAAAGATGGTTTATTCTTTTCAGTAATTTTATTTTAATACTTGTTTTTTCAATATCTTAAAGTAATTTATGTTGCTTTTTAAATTTAGCAAAATTATTCTTTTTTCTTGATCTAACCAGATCAATGAAACCCGTCATTCATCAACGTTGCGAAAACTGACACATCACTTCGAAGGGTGACATGGTAGTTAAAGTGTTAAATCGGGGAATCTCATGTAACACCGAAAATAAGCGATGATATTCTGGTCGACGATTGGACACTTCGAACTAATTGCGAAGAAACGCGTTTATCGCGCGCGTATGATCTCTCTGTTAGGATGCGCTGTGATAATGCCGATAAAAATTCGGTGATTGTTGAATTTCTCGCTGTAACAAAGTGCAACAGCACCGCTAAACGGATCGGCATTTTGACACGGGGCCAAAGTAATCGACGGCTTGTTTCTACCCGAGCCTCCAACCGAGATTCCGAACCACTGTACGTATCGCCCTCGGCTTTTTTTGGCGTCGCGCCATTATTTGTGCCGAGTGCCGCCCACGATTTCACCCATTAGCCGCGTTTCGCCCTTATTAATAGCCCTTTCATCGCCTCGCGTATTTATACATTTCGAAGAAGGACAATACGTGCTATTGACATTGAACTTGTTGCCGCGGCAATCGATATCGAAAAATGGGAAGAATTACGTAGTAGACATGAGTGTAGTGTAAGAGATGTGGGCTACAGCGCCTCAAACTATAATCTTTCGAATCCGTTTTATATTATGTATTAATCCTAAGTGTATTCTTTAGAACAATATTGCATCAAGATATATCGTTGTAATAATTGAGTGCTGGTTTCTGTCTGGAAGAAACGTTGGAGCATTACTGTCGCAAAGCAACTACCTCAATCTGTCGTAAGAAACGGAGGAAAAAATTCGTTAGAGCTAGGCGAACCTCTACGTAAATTGGAAATGATATTAAACTCTAACATATCAATTAAATCTACATATCGATTGGTCTTATTGAATCCAGATTCGCGCGTCCATTGTCCTTCTATGGGAACATTCGCGGTTTTTATTATATTTTTCAGGACGTTGATGTCACACGGTATTTGCCGCCATCTTTCTCGAGAAGATCACCTTATTTCAAAAGACGCAATTTTATTCAACTATACGCACTTTTCTTGCATTTATTACGTCTACAGGAAAGAAAAATTTTCAGAATTAAATATCTTCTTCTTTTAAAAAAGTGCAGACATATCCAAGTTAACAGCCACGCCAGCTGTCGCTTCTTCTTTCTGCTTCGACTAAAGACAACTTAACAAGTTGACTCTAAAGTACAAAGAAATTTTCGCGTTTTCAAAATAAACACTTTCTTACGTACGTATGTATCACAAGTCTCTACTTTCTACATACTTCACCGTCAAGATTGAGACAAACACCGTGAAAAATACGTTGCTCCTGAAAAACCGTTAATTTATTTTTCAATTTAGAGAGTGGCGGAGATATATCGCGCATGCAGAAAGTAGTTGCTTTCGGGGGGAAGAACAACAACGAGGTTGCCGACGGTCGGGGACCGGCCGTGCTTTCGTGCTCGCTGCGCGGCGAGTTGTCCTCCGTAGCTTCCGTTCCCGGGACAGAAGATTCGGCGGTTTTTGCGGCGCCGTCGACGTCCGCGCCCGTTTCCGGGGCAACGTGGCCGGCGCATTTGGAGAGGAAATTACTCGGCAATTCGATTTTGGTATTTTCGCCGGGCGCTGCGCGCCGTGCCGCGTCTCGAATGGAACCGGATTCACGACCCCCGTCCCGGTGGGGCGGCACGTCCCCGAGCCGTGTCTTTATCGCCGGCCGGGTTCCTTAAGGATTATAGACCCCGTCGCGGCCGTAACACGTCTCCGCGTACATGCGGCTTTCTTCCTTTCGCTTAACTCCGCAGCCGCAGTTGTAAAGCCGCGGAATACAGTCTGGAGCCTCGCGCTCCCGCAGAATCGCGCCGCAAGAGTGCAAAGCCGGCTCTAAGTGGTTTACGCTACCGAAGCGCGCTCGCTGCGGAAGCATTGTCTCGCGCGTGCTCAATTTCGCCTAATCTGGTCTCACGAGCTAATTTCTTTTTTCTACAAAATCTATTCCGGATTAGCGTAAATCTAAACCTCCCAACGCGCGCACGTAGACGCATTACGGATAAAAACGAGATCGCGCGCGTGGCGCGTAGTGCTACATCAGATAGAAATAACAAGAGAAGACAAAGATGATCGTGAGGGGGGATAAAACTTGACGCCCGGATAAATACGCAACATCGCCGTATCTGTGAAACTTTTTATACAAATTTTGTATTCGAAATTCTTTATTCTGAGCAAGGAATATCGTAAGATACGTCATGGAGCATCGGCGCGGGTCGCTTATAGCCGGCACGTTGCTGATTCGATATCGATATCCGGTATCCCGATATCAGGAGGTGTCCGGGTACAAGCGATCGCACGAAATTTCCAATTCACTCGGTTTTCTCGCGCGTGTTGGGAACGCAGCCTTAGGGGGGGTTTAGAGGATTAGAAGAGGTCGACGAAATAGAGAGAGAGGGGGGGAGGGGTAGAAAGAGAGACAGACATAAAGAGGGATATCACGGTGCAATCTCACTTGTTCCACATCATGGTCGGACCTTCTTTGCACATCTCTCTCCCCCCCCATCTCCCTCTCTCTCTCTCTCTCTCTCTCTCTCGATTCCCTATAGCCAATCTATATACGTATTCCAGACTTTAATCGCCTTCCTTCGAGTTCCCGCGACGCCGGGCTCAACCGTCCCTGATCCCGGTATCCATCAAGAAACTTGGTATCCGGAGTAGGTGTGCCGACGCGTTACTCTTCCGTGAAAATTCCCATCTGCTTTCAC